CTAGAGAAGAGTCATACCTTCATTCAATATTAATAATATGTCGGTAAGTGTTATATAATATATTTATTATAATTTATAAAGTATTTCATGGTAAGTGTTCAAATACTTTCGTGCGTCATTGTATATATATATATATATTGCTGAATAAATAAATAAATAAATAAATAAATAATTTTTAACGTGACAAAAGAATTTTATTTAGGGTACCGTTAAAGATATACACGCAGCAACGGTGAAAAATGATTTGGAGGGTTTGAAGAAAAAATTGGAAGATCCAGTCTCGCCTGTTATTTTGTGTAGCAAGGATGCAAACGGTTTAAACGTTTTGCACAAGGTACTTTAATGAATTTCAAATAATCGCTAGACCGGGGGTACTCAACCTTTTTTTTTTTCACGGGCCTCATACGTTCCTTTCTTTTGTTTTTTCTCGACAGGGAAAATATTTTCTAAAAGTAGGTGTCGGATTTGTCTACAATTTATTGACTAAAAATTCTTTGTGTCTTAACTTAAGTTATGGTCAGGGGTAGTGGTGGTGTTAGTGGTGGGTTGGGTTGGGTTCGATTAGCATTTCTGTATTTTGACACCCACATACATTCCTTACTTAAATTAACCCTTTTCATCCCAATGTCGAGAGTGACTCGACATCAGTTTTTATCTCAAGAAATATATCATACATTTAGAAATTACAAAATACAAATAGATATTTCATTAAATTAGTTTCCTTTCTTTGACTTATTTAAAATATTGCCTTATTTCTTAGTTAAAGTAAATTTCAAATAATTTCAAAGCGTTTTGGTAGCTGCCGGTAACAAAATTGAAATATAATTTGGAATGGAAAGGGTTAAGCGGGCCGCAACAAAAGTCTGGCAACAAACAGTGCCAGACATTTTACGATACAGTATTACGTAAAACGGTTAAACCTAACCTCATTTACCATTTAAAATAGCAATTTACAAAACGATGAATAAAAAAAAAAAAGAATAACATGTGAAACTTACACGCGACTGAAGTGAAACTTTTTTAGTTTCCCCCTGTCATCTTGCCCGATCGATATCTCCCCGTTTCACCTTTCACTTTTCGTGTTGTTTACAAATTTTCTATACCCTTTCGAAAAAAAAGTTTCACTTCAAAAAACTTATTCAGTTTTATTGTTGTTTCTCAATGTTAAAATAAAGAGTCAATGGGGGATAAAACACATATTTATCCCCCATATGTTTATTTAAATTATGAGATTTATGTGATTTTTGGTATACTTTCTGCTACAACAACTGTAATGATATTTAATAACCTATAAATGTAAAACATGTTTCACTTTTTATGACTGACAATGAGTGAGCGAATATTTGTTGCAACGGAAGGGGAGGGGGTGGAGGAAGAAAGGGGGCGATCACTATTCCTAGATTATTTATTTTTATCTAAACAAATTGAAATTCTTGTTTACCTTTGTATTCATGATTGCACATTACGATTTAACGAGGTTGCAGGTTGAGTACCACTGTGCTAGATTAATCAAACGTTTACGTATTATAGTCCGGTCAACTTAGACATTTGAAATAACAATAATTCCCGGAAAGCCAAATATTGGTGGAGAGCTGTAGTTTACCATTACAAATAAAGTTTTAAAAATCCCCATCGATTCTATGTGTACTTAAAAAGTTATTCAAGGACAAAGGTAAAAATTTGAGGTTTTTTGGATTTTGCTTGAAAACGGTAAGTTTTATCAAAAAAAAACTTCAAACCAAAGTTGTAGATCYTAAAATTCTCTACAAAAATGGTCTTTATGATTTCTTTCCTAAGAGTTACCATTCCTGAGATATTGCGATTCTAAGAGTCACATTATACATGATATGCACACATTTCCACACCACCAGTGAGGTAGTGTACTTGGCGCGTTTTTTTTAAAATGACTTGTTCCAAAAAATATGATAATGATTCGGGAATATCTTTATTTATATYYTCGAACATTCTAYYTGGTGGGGGGTACATAGTATTATCGAAAACGCAAGATTGAATATCTTCACGAACAATTGCTGCCGCAGCTTCCAAAGTTTTTAACCGCTTGTCTTTTTCATCCAAGTGTTTTTTATCAGACCAGACTTGACTTAAAATATCTTGGTAATTGTCAATAAAACAAATAAATTTTAATTTTCCAGACTTCTCTGTAATAATAATTCTACTGCCATACTTCAGTTTCAATCGTATTTTTATAGTTCTGTCATCTAAAGCTACATCTTGACAAACATTCCTTAATTCATCCAACGAAAACTGGCAATCATCACTCGTTTCTAATAATTGAAAAATGATCTCCATCGCAGAGTTTATAGTTTCATCTTGTGGACGGCCAATTTTACCACCAGTATTCGGTTTTAGGAAAGATTTGTAACAACTGTCATGGTATTTTGCATCAGCAGCGACTAAATCATACTCAAAATTAATACGTTCAAGAACAGCCTTTGAAACATCATCAGAACGATCTTTAGCAAATTTCAACAGTGATTCTTTGAATTTTAGTGTAGTCACGTAACAAATTTTTTTTCGAAGATGCTGTGCTTTTTTTTTCTCAGTTTCTTCATTGGCTTCATTGCCACAAAATAAACAATATTTTTTAAAACAAAAATTTGATTCACTTACTCGCGTTCTAGTACGAGGTGGACTTATTTTTGAAGTACTAGCCGGTTTCTCCTCATGTTGTCTTTTCACTGCAGAAATTGAAGTTTTCCGGGTGTATGATTTTCTGCAATCCACGTGTATTTTAACGGATTTTTGAATTCTTAAATACTCAGTAAACTCATCACCTCTCGCGACACTAGCCTCGATTAAATTTACCATTCCACGATTAACCACAACTGTTTTATCTTCAGTTAAAAGTTTATTGCAAATAAAGCAAAACTGAGACATTTTTTAGAGCTATAAAATAACACATATAACCTAAATGGTAGATGCTTGTAATAAGTACGTATATTCACTTGAACTGAACCTTTAGCACTAAAAGAAACAGGTATATGAACGAGACCTACGGACAATAGAATAGCCCGATGTTTTTCAAGCCCACGTGCATAGAGGAGATTCAGTTAGGGAATGGCTATCTTATGAATAAATGTTTTTAGGATAGTATAATATATATAAAAAAGACACAAATAGGTATTTATACTTGTCTTAAGTGCCTAATATGTATATACGTGGCTTATATGTGCATATCAAGTATAATGTGACTCTTAGAATCGCGATATCTCAGGAATGGTAACTCTTAGGAAATAAATCATAAAGACCATTTTTGTAGAGAATTTTAAGATCTACAACTTTGGTTTGAAGTTTTTTTTGATAAAACTTACCGTTTTCAAGCAAAATCTAAAAAACCTCAAATTTTGACCTTTGACCTTGAATAACTTTTTAAGCACACATAGAATCGATGGGGATTTTTAAAACTTTATTTGTAATGGTAAACTACAGCTCTCCACCAAAATTTGGCTTTCCGGGAATTATTGTTATTTGACCACTTTTTTTATGTCTAAATTGACCGGAATATTACAATAGAATTTCTGTGTTATTGCAATGATGAAATTTGTACGTAATCAATCAGGCTGCCGGATTGGGTTATTTGGAAGTTGCTCGTGAAATTCTTGAAAGGTATCCTTCGATAGTAACGGCTCAAGACAACGAAGGTAAAACACCATTACATTACGCGGCTGCGTTAAAGGACGATGATATCATGTACAATCTTTTAACCGAATATGGAGCTGACGAAAGTAAATTAGACAACGTTAGTATAATTATGTATTCAATATATATCATATATATGTTACCGGTAATGTATAAAAAAGAAAAAAAAAACAGGGACTGTATAAAATATCTAGCGTTTTTGGGCAAAGTATAAAATATCTGAATTATTTTAATATTGTATATACTATACCTAGGCATATAAGAAAAGTCTTAGAAACAGATGAAGATTAGTAAGTGTCCAAAAGAAGATAGAATTACCATTGAAATACTGAAATTTGGAGATCATGCTTTGAAGAAACCCCCGAGGATCTTTTTCAATAAATACCAGACTCCTGACAAAATGTCGAAGTATTTTTGAATCTTAAAAAAGGTTACATAAGTATTATAAAATACTATAGATCTATAAGTTTGCTTTGCCCACCTATACAAATTGTTTATGAAAATTATCACAAATCGACTAACATCTAAATTTGACTTCTATCAACTTGTGGAACAGGACATAACTTGTGGATTTCTGAAAGGGTTTAGTACAACCGATCATCTATAAGCAATGAAACATTTTCTTGAGAAAACTTCGAAGTATAATATGTGCCCATAATTATAAAAGTGGTCTAACAAGGAGACCTTACGGTTGTGCCCTCACTGATTTTAACGAGCTTTGATATATTAGTAGTATTCTAGTAGGGTGTTGTCGTGGTAAAGTATTTTATCCTAACGCGAAGCCAATTTCGAGAAAAAAGCTTTTAAAGTTTTGATTTTTTTGTATACATGTTTATATTATCTTAAATGCAATTGTTTATTAAGTGTTGCGTTAGCGTAAGTAGTAGCGTGCTCGCTTTTCGTGCTGCTAGTTTAGTGTTCGATCCTTCATGGGGGAAGTTTTTTTAATAATTTTTTTCTAYTTGTTTTTAAATTGTTTTTTCATAATTCTTAATTTCTAAATATATACAGGAAAGAGAAAATTATTTATTGCAAAAAAATTAGAAATAATAAATTTTTTAATATTTTGCGCAAATAATAAAGGAAAATCGATTACTTGAATTACAGTTAACATTTTATTTTTTAACAGGTTTATGAAAATAGATAAATTTTCAATATATTAACAAATAACAATCCTATATAGTCTACTCATTAACAATTTCATGTATAATTTTTTTATATCCATGAGGTTTAAGATTTATTGTACATTTATTAATATTTATTAAGGGGTTACATGGGTTTGGGACTTTCAAAAAAATTTTTTTTTTTTATTTCTTTTTTCAATTCTACAACTCATCTAGAATATTGTATGCAATTTTGAAGTCGATAGGAGTAGTAGTTTTAAAGATAGAGCCCTGGGAAGTTCCACTCTTTAATGGCTCTTATACCAGCACTCAAATCTTTAAACGCGTTTTTCTCAAAACGCTTTTTCTAAAGTCGGTTGTCAAGATTTCTCGAAAACTATTTAACYRATTTTVATGAAATTTGCTACAYGTCTTCGTGATAYTATYGACAAGGACTTGGACGAAGGATTTTCGTTTTTTTCATAAAATCGAATTTTAAGAAACCAAAATGTGGTGCAAATTGTAGCGAAATTTGAATGTTCTTGCTAAAAACGTTGCCAAAAATCCAAATTTTAATTTTTTTCTTTTTCCTTCGTCCAGTTTCTAGTTTTAAGTATTCACTAAAAGACCYTAWTTTTTYAACAGAAAAACCCCYACCGTTTATAAGTTCTGCTGTCAACGCGAAAACACTTTTTTTCGGTGGGGTCACCGGAAATGACGTCGCAATGGCTGAGTTTAAAATATTTTTCAACCAAAAATTCAGAAAATGTTCTTTAAATATGTATCTTAAATACTATAAAAAGTTTTGATAGGAATTCTATTTTTTATATAGAAAAAAAAATTGTTGAAAATATGCTATTTTTTCCCGGTGTAAACCCATGTAACCCCTTAAACGCAGGATCCAGAGTGATAGTTATCGTAAAAACATTCAAAACAATAAAGTTTTTGACATCTTGCGCACACAAATAATAAACGAAACTTCAATCCTTGAATAATAGTTACCATTTTATTTTTTATCAGGTATATTATACATGAAATAGTTAATAATTAGAATATATACGATTGTTATTTGTTAGTATATTGAAGATACCTTTTCATATAGCTGTTAAAAAAAAAATATTAACTGTAATTCAAGTAAAATCAATTTTCCTTTATAATTTGTGCAAGATGTTAAAAAATTAATAATTCCTAATTTTTTTGTATTAAATAATTTTCTCTTTCCTGTATATATTTAAAAATTTTAAAATATGAAAGCAATTTAAAAACAGATAGAAAAAAATTATTAAAAAAATTTCCCCCATGAAGGATCGAACACTAATTAGCATTACGAGAAGCGAGTACGCCACTACTAACGCTAAAGCGCTACTTGATAAACAGTTGAATTTAAGATGATATAAATATGTATACAAAAAATTCAAAACTTTAAAAGCATTTTTCTCGAAATTGGCTTCGCATTTTTATAAAATACTTTACCAGGTTAACACCATAAAGGTATACTAGTATACCAAAGCTCGTTAAAATCAGTGAGGGCACAACCGTAAGGTCTCCTTGTAAGTCATATATCTCTTGTTTCGAGATATTTAAAGGATTACATTTGAACATTAAATGAATTCTATATAATATTGAAATAAAAAACACTATCTGACGGTTCATTTTTGACAATATCATGAAAATTACATTGAATTAATTTAGTTTAAAATAATGTGATGTGAAATAACTAATAAACTCATTTTTGTTTTAATTTTGACTTTGTTAGAACACTTTCATAATTATGGGCACATATATCAATACACTTTTGCTTTCATTGACTTTCAGAAAGCATTTGAGATGATGCATTGTGATTGAAAGCACATGATTGAGATCTGGCATATATTTAAGTCCATGAATAGTGTTCAAATCAATTTTAGATACGTTACAATTGTTGGATACATCTATCCAAATGTTTATTTACGTGTGAAGTTAGTTGAGACAACAAATATTAATAATATCAAAGTGGAAAGAGGCGTACGTTAAGAAAATACAATGTCACCCAAACTTTTCACTCTGGCACTAGAAAAAATTTTTAAAGATCTCTTATGGGAAGATAAAAAGGTGGAAAGATAAACGGAACTATCTAAATCATCTCAGATTTGTGGATAACATTGTTCTGATATAGGAGAACAGAAATGAGATCCAAAAAATGTTACAAAAACTGAACGAAATGCGATTAGGATTGTTAATGAAATTGTTAAAAACATAAATAATGAGCTGACAAAATATACGAATAATAATAGACAACCATAACATAAAAAAACGTTAGTACAACTATCTAAAACATATTATAATATTCCAAGAGATCACGAAACGGATCAAACTTTCCTAGGTTGCTTTCGGTGGACTATCATTAATACTGAAAAATAACACAATTCCCATAAATTTAAAAAGAATCTTTACACCTGTCATCATCTAAGGGGTGGAGACAGTAGCCTTAACAATAAAGAATGCTAATAAATTGAGAATAATGCAGAAATCTATGGAACGAGCAATGCTAAAGGTTTCCCTGAGAGACAAAATTAGAAATGAAAATGTCCGAAAGAGAACAAAGATCACAAACATAATCGAAAGAATAGCTATATTAAAATAGCATTGGGCAGGACAAGTTATGAGACAGTAAAATGAACAATGGTCTATCAAAAATTTTATATTGGCACAATATAACTAATTGTAAAATGTATGGATGACATCAAACGCGCAGCTGGAATTCACTGGCATCAAAAAATTCTGAGTAAACGTAACTGGAGAAATTTAGGAAAGGCGTATTTTCAAGAGTGGGCGAACAAAGGCCAGTTTTCAGGAGTAAGCGAACAAAGGTTAGGAAAAAAAAAGAAAAAGATACCTAAACATTAGTCTTATATAGAATGACAAATGCTATTTAGGCAAAGTATTAAAAGAGAATTATGAAAAGACTTTTATTGAAAAGAAAGAAATACAAAAGAAAATATTGGACATTACTATTGAGGAAAACAAGAGAAAACAAAATATGAATGTACGTGTTGCAACAAGGAAGGCTTAAATGAAATTTTGAATTGTACTTCCTTGTTCTTTTCACACAAAAGTGCTACCTGTTTTGGGGCTTGGTTTTTCGTATACACTTGACGAATTCTTTGTTGTTTTCTGTGAACTGAATAATAGCAGCTTACCAAAGAGATATTTTGCGGTCAGGAATATCTTAAATTCTGTGTAAAAAAAAATTCTTTGGGTATAAAGTGATTTGTGATCTCGTTAACAATTATTTAAAAATTTTTTCAGTAATTTCAAATCGTTAAAAACCATCTTTTGTCACGTTTATAATAACTATCAACAGATAACACGAATCAATTCGTCCCTTGTCGATTTCAAGAATAAAAACTCACTCAGTAGCTTCCGAAAAACCAGGAAAAAATTTCTTGTCAGAATTCATTTTCATGGTTTTTCTTTTACATGTATTTCCAGATTGAATTTAAAATCAAATTTATTTTCAACGACATTCCTAGTTTGAAGCAAAATGCATAAAATATCAATTTCATCATCTTCATCATCTTTACGTGTCTTCCCATGTGACATTAAAAACGTCATTAGCGAGAGTATTTTATACTTTGTTGAGTTGTCTTTTGACATTGCACAGAATACTTAGTAAATGTGTGAAATATTCATTCTTTCATACTTTTCCCAAAAATGCCAGATTTTCTATGCAACGTTTGCTTTTTATACATTGTCGATAACATATATATATATTAGGGTGGTCCTTAACAGGGGTGTTTTCAAATTTCTTGGCGCTCAGGGGCTCAAAAGCTTCCAAATTTATAAAAAAAAATTATCTGAAAATTTGAGCTCTTAATATCAACTCTAAGATAGTCCGCATTCCAACCTAAGTTTCTTATGGAAATAATATGAGAGAAATTTCCTTCGTTATTTAGAATGTTATTATTCAGGAATAAATGGATCTATCATGATAAATCATACATATTTTTATGGAGAATTTAACGCTCTATAAAAAAGGTTTCTTATAATTTTTCGCTAAATCTATTAGTTTACAAGTTATTTGAG